CCCCCCCCCCCCGACCCCAACGTTACGTACGTTAACGCCTGGGCTCCTAATTGAGGCGCACGAACGTCAATCAAGTTGAACGCAAAGCGATATCGATCAGGATTGATTAAGCAGTAAACGGGACAATGGATTGCAATATTACGCGGTCGCGTCAATATGTCATCAGAATCCGTCCAATTGATTGCCTCAACTTGTGTCAATTTTTCGACTACGCCCATTGATTAACATTAGCACCGCCCACCGCGAGAAACACAGAAGCGTCATGGATCCTGTTGCGGGAGTGGAATTAAAATAAATGAAGCGCATCCCATCTGCGCTGTAATAACAATTTGATCAGCCGCGAGGAACGCGATTGGAGGACTCCCACGGGGGTTCGCTCGTGTGTTGATTGGAGGGTTGGGGGTAGTGGGGGGGGGGATGCTTGAGGGGGGCGGAGTGCAACACGTCCCATTTGATGGCTGGGAGTCCGCTGCGGCGATTGGAGGGAGAGACGTGGAGCGATGGCGCCATCTTGAGGTCATATGTTGGCATTGCAGCGAGTCCGATCATGTTTCATTAATTTTGCGGGGTTTTTTTGCCTTACACCCCCCTCCCCCCATGTATCTCGTTATAGACACTTTAAAACATGTTGGACAAACTCAAAATTTCAAGGCATCAAACCAGTGAAACTGTAAGTTGGCTAATTCAACGACATATTTTAAGTTTTGCTGTTGTAAAAATTGGCTTTACCTAACAGTCTTGCTATTAATGTCAATTTTAATGTTGTTCCAACTCACTGTATCAGTACCAAAGCATTTTATTTATATATATATATATATATAAAAATATATTTATTTAAGCGAGTGGTGATTTTCTCATCAAAAATAAGTGTCTGAGTGTCCTTGTCCAACCATCCATTTAAAAATGTTTTGAGTCCATCCAATTCCACACTTTGCCGCACAACGTCTACACAAAAGAATGATATTAAAACTTGACTTCAAAACGAATTCCTTGCATCATGCTTGGCGACATCAGACAAATGATTTGACTACACACACACACACACACACACACACACACACACACACACACACACACACGAAAAAAAAGCCGTATCATCAAATAGGAAATGACACGGGAAACAAGAAAATGTAAATGTGGGCAAAAGCAATCGCAGACACGCTAAATGAAATCTGTCTGTGAAAGACAAACAAACATGATGGATGTGGCTTTGTCACTCATATCTGTTGCGGGACAAAAAAAAAAAGTCAGCCAAAAGTCCCCCTTAAAAGTTTACATGTTTATTTGTGTGTGGTTTGTACATTCTGATCACATTAGAAAAAGTAGCTAACTCCAGATGGCAACATGGAAAAAAAATAAAGTCTCCGGCATACCTTGAGTGTTTTCCCTCTAAAACGCTCAGACTGGTCAGACATATTTGACGTCAACTATTGTGACTATTTCAGCTAATAACACATCCACAGAGGAAGAATAATTTAGACATTTCCACCCTTCCCATCGCAAACTTGTTGCACTCTTGTGTCTCTTCTGTTGTATAAAAATAAAGTTTCAGGCCTTTCTTCCATTTCCGGGCTTTTTCTGCGTGAACGTTATTTACATTTGGTCTTCATCTCGCCAGTGTTTCGCAGACTACCTGAGCACCTAAATGAAACACTTTTCAAAGCAACTTCTCGGTTAAAGCTACTAAATCAGGAAAGGTAGACATTTAAGGACTCAAATGCAAAATCAAAAAGTCACATCCTCCATCTGGAGGGAGGTTTGAACAAATTTTGGGAGTTTTCTGTCCTGGGTCACATTTTGGAATTCAACCTTTAGATCAAGAGAATTTATTTTTAACTCAAACGTTCCGGAAAATTCAAACAATGTGGCTCGCGCTGACCATTCAAGTGTAAGGAAATACATCTATCTATATACACATATATTCTTTATATTATTTCTGAAGTAAGATTGTAGGATTTGGAATTGGTGATTTGTCCACCAAAAAGTGTGTGTGGGGAGTGTGGGGGGGGGGGGGCGGTCTTTTGCTCTAGACGCACCTACACTCGTTCTCCGTCATTTCAAACGCGCCCAATAGTTTTCATGGGTGGCACCACCATCTGCTGGACAGTTTTGGCACGACAGGCTGCTTTCTTCTGCAGTTCCACTCCATTGCTCCCAAATAAATTGGATATCTTCTAGGGGGGGGTTAAAAAAAATTGTTGGAACTTAGTTCTTCACTTCTTGTTTGTTTCCTTCATTGGTCCACGTTTTGAATCAACTTTCCGAAAGCGAAGCATTGTGCCAGCCGGGGAGGAGACGGAAAGTGGGAGGAAATGCGGCGGGGAGGAAAAAGGAGGCATGAGACAAAAGAGCTCAATTTCGCATCGACATAAAAGGAAACAGCTGGTAAACGTTTCGTTTCAGCTCTTCACGGGATCCGTATTCGACATACGTGGGGTGGGGTGGGGACAGTTACAAACGCACCTTTGAAACCCCTAATTCAAGTACGTACTCGGGCTTTTTGTGTGGTGAATGTTGCGGCCGTGGGAGGGCGAGGGGAGGCGGTGCAGGCGAAGCGGG